CGTTTTATGGTCCCATCAGTTCTTGCTTGCAATTATTATTATTCATATTATTATTATATATATAATATTATTAAACATGACTATCTTATTATTGTAGGATTGCTTCTCTCAGAGTTTGATTAAGGGCACTTGCTGACAGTGATCTAGACACAAAATTTGTTTTAAATAAAAGAAATGTAAATATAGTTGTGCCTATCCAAAATATTCCAAGTCTAATATCTTAATTAACAATGCACTTTGCTTTTGAATCAACCCAATTATATTAGAAAATAATGTTCATTTGCTTGGTTGAATCCAACTGCCTAGCAGAGCTTTGTTAGTGCTGGAGAGAAGCCAGCAGTATTCTCTGAGTCTTTCTCTGGGGCTGTCTCCAGGGACTCCTTCCATATTTGTTGAAAGATTTTTCTCAAACAGTATAATGTTATAGGAGATGGTTAGGAAGGGAGAAAGATTGTAGGGGAAGGAAACTTTAGCAGAGGGACAACTGGAAAGAATTCCAACCTGCCCCTTTCTTCCAAAAGGGAGACTCCTGATCCCATTTTCCTCCACAGAAAGGAGACATTCCTTTTTTCAGAGAAGCATTTGTGATCTCTACTTCTCTCCATGCACTCCTCTGTAAAGAAGCCATTTGCTAGATTTATTAAAAATTGTAAAGCCCACTTCTTCAATTTAATTATAAAGATCTTAGCATCCAAATATATTTACATCTGATTTTTTTTTTGTTTTTTTTTGTTTTTGTTAGAGGGGAGCTCCTCAGCCGTGCAGCATCAAGCTTCAAGGGGACTGTGGTGATAGTGGTTGAATATATTTCTGTTATGCTTAATATTTATGTTTGATAATAAAGCTGGCATCTGTCTCTTGAATACATATGAGGAAATGTATCTACCTCCTACAACTTTATTGTATTTAATGTATTCGTTCTTAAAAAAGATGAATTCCTTAAGGGGTGATTGCCATTTCTGTCTAAGCCTGCTGTTGCACTTGGAGATAATACTTGAAAATGCTAGTCATGTCAGGTCTGCTGAAAAATGGCTAATTTTAATACTATAAATATTTCAAAATCTACATACTGCTACATAAGAATTTGGAGACAAAAGTCCCATTCATAATAATTGGGGTACATGGAGTTAATAATTTTTAAAAGAAGTTTAATATTAATTATTAACAAATTAGCAAATATATTTAATAATATATTAAAATATGTTAATAAAATGTGATGTCAGTCATGTAAGTCCAGCTAAGTAGTTAAAATAAATAACTAGATGTTGCTGTTTTTTCTCTTTGAAATGCTATTCACCTGCTTAAGAACACATTATCTCTTGCAGGACACAAGTTCTTTTACAATACCTATGAGAGATAACATGAGTTTATCCATGTGAATACTGCAAATCACAGTATTAATGGAGACTGGAATTTTGTTTCTGGTTAATTCTGAACTATTGAACTATCAACTGGAAAGCAAATTTTCCAACTGTCAAAAAAAATCAGTAACCCTAGAAACATTTATACTATTCAAAAATGCATGTTTCGTCACTCTGTTTTTCCTTTCTAAGGATATTAATTATTGTTTTCCCAATTTGTGAAAACATATTTTGATTCCAGTAGTAGCTATCATATTCACCTAAAATGGGTAATATTTATTTATTTATTATTTATTTATTTATTTTTGTGCCTTCAAGTCAGTTTTGACTCTTGGCAACTGCCTGCAGTCTTCTTGGCAAGATTTTTTGGAAGTGGTTTGCCATTGCCTGCTTCCTAGGGCTGAGAGGGAATGACTGACCCAAGGTCACTCAGCTGGTTTCGGGACTAGAACTCATGGTCTCCTGGTTTGTAGCCTGATGCCTTAACCACTACACCCAACTAGCTCTCAAAATGGATAATAAGTTTAGAAAATCTTTAACAAACCTCAGTTATTTCGTCTTGGTTTTGAGCATCTCAAAACCTAGAGCATCTTGGTTTTGTTTGCTTTTACACTGGTTTGCAAGTTTCTGTAGTAAAAATGATAGCTGGCATCTATGCACATGTACTCATTTCCCTTTAGGTTTTTATTTCAGTTTTTGTATTATGAATTTTCATTAAAGAGTAGTTACAAATAGCAAGCTAATACTTTCCTAATAGCATAGTATTGTAATAAGAAAAATCCAAAATGAGGTTTATCTGCATTTTCTTAGTTTGCATTTTCTTTTTAACTCCTTGCTAGACAATCACTTTACAATTGGTGGAGTGTATACATTGGAGTAATAAATAATTACTAAATCTCCATTTTTCAAATTAGTAGTATCAGCTGCTTGGGAGTTCTGGGGTCCATCTTATCTGGAGGGAACACATGTGTGTGTGTGTGTGTATGCTTATTTGCAGAGGTATTCACAACAAGGTGAGATTTCATTAAAATGACTTAATGTGTGTTGTGATGTCATGACACAAACTCCTCACTTGGTGTACTTACATGTAATGCCACAATGCATGTACAAAGGGGGCAGATTTTTGTTGTGCTATCACAATGCCATTTTCGTCATTT